CATAGAATCATAGAATATCAGGGTTGGAAGGGACCTCAGGAGGTCATCTAGTCCAACCCCCTGCTCAAAGCAGGACCGATCCCCAACTAAATCATCCCAGCCAGGGCTTTGTCAAGCCTGACCTTAAAAACTTCTAAGGAAGGAGATTCCACCACCTCCCTAGGTAATGCATTCCAGTGTTTCACCACCCTCCTAGTGAAAAAGTTTTTCCTAATATCCAACCTAAATCTCCCCCACTGCAACTTGAGACCATTACTCCTTGTTCTGTCATCAGCTACCACTGAGAACAGTCTAGAGCCATCCTCTTTGGAACCCCCTTTCAGGAAGTTAAAAGCAGCTATCAAATCCCCCCTCATTCTTCTCTTCCGTAGACTAAACATCCCCAGTTCCCTCAGCCTCTCCTCATAAGTCATGTGTTCCAGTCCCCTAATCATTTTTGTTGCCCTCCGCTGGACTCTTTCCAATTTTTCCACATCCTTCTTGTAGTGTGGGGCCCAAAACTGGACATAGTACTCCAGATGAGGCCTCACCAGTGTCGAATAGAGGAGAACAAGCACGTCCCTCGATCTGGGGCAATGTCCCTACTTATACATCCCAAAATGCCATTGGCCTTCTTGGCAACAAGGGCACACTGTTGACTCATATCCAGCTTCTCGTCCGCTGTAACACCTAGGTCCTTTTCTGCAGAACTGCTGCCGAGCCATTCGGTCCCTAGTCTGTAGCGGTGCATGGGATTCTTCTGTCCTAAGTGCAGGACTCTGCACTTGTCCTTGTTGAACTTCATCAGATTTCTTTTGGCCCAATCCTCCAATTTGTCTAGGTCCCTCTGTATGCTATCCCTACCCTCCAGCGTATTTACCTCTCCTCCCAGTTTAGTGTCATCTGCAAACTTGCTGGACTTTAGGGCCCACGAAGAACTCTTTAAAAAGGTGGCATCAAGCCTCCACCTCCAGGCAGAGGAGATGGAGGAGCCCTCGGACTCCCTGTTTAATGTGCTGTCCTCTTCGGCACCAGTCAGGGTAGCCTTGCCTCTCCATGAAGGGGTGGCAAAAATTTCAAATGCGCTGTGGCAAACACCGGCCTCCTTGGCCCCCATCTCTAAGAGGGCAGAAATCAAGTACTTTGTACCTGCCAAGGGACACGAGTACTTATACACCCACCCGGCGCCCAACTCCATGGTGGTCTAGTCGGTCAACCACAGGGAATGGCAGGGCCAGCCAGCCCCTACCCTGAAAAATAAAGATTCACGGAGGCTGGACTGTTTTGGAAGAAAAATTTATTCGTCCTCGAGCTTCCAGTTAGAAGTGGCAAAATACCAGGCTTTCCTGGGCTGGTATGAGTTCAATCTGTGCGGCTCCCTGCCCAAGTTCGAGGACTCCCTCCAGGAGCATGATAGGAAGGAGTTCAAATCGCTGGTGGAGGAGGGTACCGCGGCTGCCAGGGTTTTGGATGCAGCGGACACAGCCGTGCGGTCCATGGCCTCCGCAGTGTCCATGAGAAGGGCGTCATGGCTCCTGCTCTCTGGGCTGTCCAGTGAGGCGCAGACCTCCATGCAGGATCTCCCGTTTGACGGCAAAGCTCTGCTTGCGGAGCAAACGGATACAAGGCTGCATGGCATGAAATACTCCCTCACGAACCTGCAGACTCTGGGTCTCTATGTTCCAGCTCCTGCTAAATCTAAGTTCAAGCTGCAGCAGACTCCCGCTCAGGCCACCCACCCAAAATACAAGGCCGCCCATAAGAAGTCATGGGACTATAAAAGGCGCCCTCAGAGGCAGTCTCGGCCTGCCCCCCAACGTGGGTCCTCCAAGGGCAAGCAGGCAGGGAAAAGGCGTTTTTGACGGGATGCTCGGGGGCACCCTGCCAGTTCTCATCAAGGATCCATCCTCAATAAAGCTTCCCTTCTCCAATTGGTTGTGTGCTTTCCTCCCAGAGTGGTCGCGGTTGACCTCGGACCGATGGGTCCTCAACAGCATCTCCCGGGGCTACACCCTCCAGTTTATTTCCTCCCTGCCCAACCATCCCCCACCCCCGACCTCCTGTGGGAACCCTTGCATGAAGCTCTGCTTGAGCAGGAGGTGGAGCAGCTCCTGGGCCTAGGAGTACTGGAAGTGGTGCCCGGGGAGTTCAAAGGCAAGGGGTACTACTCCCGCTGTTTCCTTATCCCGAAGACCAAAGCAGGACTCAGGCCCATCCTGGACCTGCGAGGTCTGAACCAGTACATGGTGAAGCTCAAGTTCCACATGGTCTCCCTGGCCTCCATCATCCCCTCCCTGGACTAGTATGCTGCCCTCGATCTGCAGGACATGTACTTCCACGTTCCACGCCCTGACCTCCGAGCCTCCATACACGGTTTTTCATAAGGACAAGGTCTAGCTCTGCCCATACCCTGCATTCCTCCCGAAGGTGGTCTCCGCCTATCACATGGGTCAGGACATTTTTCTGCCGGTCCTCTGCCCCAAGCCCCACGCATCCAGTGAGGAGTGCCATCTCCACACGCTCGATGTGTGATGGGCTCTGGTTTTCTACCTCGAGCTTTCTACCAAGCAGTTCAGAAAGTCCTCGCAACTGTTCATTGCCTCAGTTGAGCACATGAGGAGTCGTTCGATCTCCACTCAGCGGCTTTCCAACCGGATCACTTTGTGCATCCGTACCCGTTATGAGCTGGCGGGTATCCCCCCACCACCGATTGTGAAGGAGCACTCAACTTGAGCTCAGGCCTCGTCGGCTGCCTTCTTGGCCCACGTCCCCATCCAGGACATTTGTTGGGCCTCCACGTGGTCTTTGGTTCACACGTTCACCTCGCTCTATGTGATCATCTCCCAAACCAGGAATAACACTGGGTTCAGCAGGGCTGTCCTCCATTTTGAGAATTTGTGAACTCCTACCCACCTCCAACAGATATAGCTTGGAATCACCTATTGTGGAATACACATGAGCAATCACTCGAAGAAGAAAAGACAGTTACCTTTTCCGTAACTGGTGTTCTTCAAGATGCGTTGCTCATGTCTATTCCACATCCCACCCTCCTTCCCCTCTGTCGGAGTTGTCTGGCAAGAAGGACCTGATGATGGGGGGAGTGTGCAGCTCCCCTTATACTCCCACCATGGAGGCGCCACTCCAGGGGCACTCCCCCCTACGGGTACTGCTAAGGGAAAAACTTCCGGCACCGGTGCACATGGCGAGCATGCCGGTTCCCGGCCAGTGGGAGCTGGGGGCGGGCAGTGCCTCCAGGCGAAAGCCATGTGGAGCTGCTTGCATGCCTCCACCTAGGAGCCGGACCTGCTGCTGGCTGCTTCTGGGGCACAGCGCAGTATGCGGTGCCAGGACAGGCAGCAAGCCTGCCTTAACATCCCCACTGCACCACTGACTAGGAGCCACCAGAGGTAAGCCCGCGCCCCAATTCCTTACCCCAGCCCTGAGCCCCTCCCAAACCCTGAGTCCCTCATTCCTGTCCCCGCCCCGAGCCCTGACCCCATCCCACATCCCAAACCCCTCATCCCCAGCTCCATTGCGTCACAGGCATCAAAATTTTCTTCAAGTGGGCCGCCAGAAAAAAAGTTTGAAAACCACTGCTGTAGATTATAACAGCACTTGAAAAAAAAAATTGCGTATAGCTCATGTTAATGTTACTGTGTTGCATTATCTCACAATAACTTGGCAATTATCTTGTTGCTACTGTAGGTCCACCTCTGCCTATTTTTTTCAATATGTTAATTCTACCTGCAAGTTTAATAGATATAAACTTAGGAAAAATCACAAGCTCTGCTTATGTTAATTTTTCCAGGTGCACTTTTGTGTGATGACTAATGTGCCAATGCTACGCTAGCAGAACAAAAATCATTTCCTTTCTAAATGTTACATTTGATTTGTCAGATGTGATTCGTCATGGATACACCTTTAAAAGTATAGTTGGCATTTTTACCAGGGTTATAGCTTTTTAGAAAGTACTAACAACCTAACTTCAATTTAGGCTACTAACACTTTAATGTTAAACAGATTTTGAGAGAGATCCCAGAAAGCTACAGAATTCCTGAGGGTAACCAAATTGATCATTGATGGCATTGCTGCAGTTGAAACATTGTATTTGGGCAGTGAATTATTGGCTTTAAGATCCAGCCAGATTTTAAGTCAGCATCCATAACTGTATAAAATTTAGACCATATCGGCTTGACCCCTAAAAAGACTTATTCACGTATCTAGTCTCACATTGAGGTCAAGGACAACTGGGGCTGGTCTACACTGAAAACTTACACTGGCATGCTAGATCTGTCTGAGGTGTCAAAAATCCACATCTCTGGGAGATATAACTATGTCTATCTAACCCCCAGTGTAGACAGTGCTAGGTTGATAGAAGAATTCGTCTGTCAACCTAGCTTCCACCTCTTGGGGAGGTGGATTAGCTACAGTGATGGCAGAACCCCTGCTATTGCTGTAGTAAGTGTGTACGCTGAAGCCCTACAGTGGTGCAGCTACAGCATTTTAAGTGTAGACATACCCTTACATAAGTATAGACTGATTGTGTGAGTAAGAGTTCCTAGGATTGGTCCCTAGTTGAAGAACCAATGACCTTTTGTGGTTTTTATTTATTTATTTTTTGGGGAAAAAAATTTTGCAGAGTTGATCGGGCTGGTTCATCTAAACAACAAAAAACAAGCAATAGTTGATTTTCCAATTGCCTGGAATTATAGCAAATTTTAGAGGATTTTTAATGCTGATGACCACCATTTTATTAGACTTTATATAATCACATAATTTTTAGAAATAACATCAATTGTTTTCAACTTTCTCAGATGTCAGCCCTTCATTTTGTGGTTATCTGAACAGGGAAGCTCTCAAATCAGATTTATTTTATCGAAGCAACAGCAATCTGGGTAAAAATAAATGTTCAGATAGCAAAAGATAAGCCTGGGCTACTACTGTACATTTCTGTTAAGCACTAGAGATTCCTATGGAATGCATATCTGCTCAGCTAACCCTGTTTATACCATGTCGTTAAGTCTATAGGGAAGTTAAAACAGCTGGTGTACCTGGATATGTCAAAAAACAGGATAGAAACTGTTGACTTGGACGTATCAGGATGTGAAGCACTTGAAGATCTCCTATTGTCATCCAATGTGTTACAACAACTGCCAGATTCTCTAGGTGAGAAGAGTAGATGCTGATTGATAAGCTTTTAAATTTGTCGGTGTTGTTTATACCTCTGGAGCAGAGATGAGCCTGGGTTACCAAGCTAGAATCCAGACCCCCAAGTTCAAGAGTTGTTTAGAATTGGTGCTCTGGTTCAAATTGAAAAGACAGGATCAGGATCTGCATCGAAATACAAACTTCCCCCATGTGTGGAGGAACTGAGATCTGGTGTTTTAGTTCTGGATCATCTCTACTTTACAGTAAAGAAATATGTTATTGGTCAAGTTGCTCTGATGTAAATTTGATAGTGTGTATGACAGTCCATTTATATATACTATTTGCTTTAAAATCTAAGGGACAAATCCTGCTCTGTTACAATGGTGCAACCGAAACTGACACCAATGAGAATGCACCAGTATAAATGGGAGAAGACATGTGGTCAAAATATTTTATTTTCTGTTTTTGACTATTTGGTTTATATATAATTTCTAATGGAATTATTATTACTTCTGCAATTACAAATACTTACAAAACAAATATGCACATTCCTGTAAAGAATTGCTTTTTTGTTACTTTGCAATCTTACTTTATTTTCCACTATTTAAAAAAAGTTATCAACTGTTCAATCTAAAACATTTGTATTATTTTTATCAGAATATGCCATATACTTAGAATAATCTGATAATAATGAAGGCCATATTACTACACCTGGTACGTAGATAGATGACATTCAAGCTGAGTCCTTTTTATCTAAGTGTGTTCATTTTCTATGCACAGTCAGCATCTTTATTTGGTATTATAAAGTTTAGACGTGTCAAATACAATTTAATTTTAAGTGCCAAATGCAAATATTGGGCCTCCGTTCAGCAAAGCACTTAAGCACATGCTTAACTTTCAACCCATGCTTAAGAGTTTAGCTGTATCAAGGCCATTTTCAGTTAAATATATGGAAATATTTTATCTTCATTAAAAATTAAATTTTTATTTATGTAGTCATTTTGATTGTATTAGATTTTCATAATTTCTTTTCATGTCTTTCCCTGATTCAGCAAAGTACTTAAGCACATACCTAACTTGACTTCATTGGGACTATGCTTCCAAATAGGCAAATGCTTGCTGATTTGGTGTCTAAATCCACAGTTAATCATCTGAGACACTTTTGTTAGCTCTGAGTTTTGCTTTGAATATAAGATTACAAATGTATAATTTAAAAACCTTTGACACTGAAATTAAAATAAAATATTAGGGACAAATCCTGATCTGTTTGCTAAATCCAAAATAGGCATGGAATTAATAACATTTCTCCAGTTCTATGCTGGTAATAGTTAAAACAGAATTTAGCATGTAGAAATTTGATTTGTAAAAGACTAATTAAAACAATTTGTTAATCACCCTACCACTGTGCACATAGCAACCATTATGCAAGTTGGTCTTCCAGTTAACTGAAAGAAAAGGAGCATTGCCCCTTTAAGAGCTCCTTGACAGCAGACCGGGAAAAGAGGGAAAGTTTATAGGATTAGACAGGAAGGGCAGGAAGCAGTTGGGGCCAGGTCAGAACAATGTCACTGTATTATCCTTTCTGCTGTTAGTGTGGTGGGATATTTACATGCAGCCACAGAAAAGCACTCGGTACCGGGATGGGACCAGCTGAAGCACCTTGAATGCTCTTTGGCAGCCTGGGAGCAGACACAGGATGCAAATATGGAAGGAATCTGTGGATATCTGGGAATCCAGCTAGGGTGGCAGGGAGGCAGCCAAGCATTTTCTGGCGACTCGCTGTGGCAGATGTCCAGTGCAGGTACCTGGTATGGAAGGAATATGGTTATCAAATAAAATAAATTGGACAAAGATTTGAAGTAAAGTATCCCTTTGAAGGATTTGAAGGAAAGCTAAATAAGGGGGTGCTGGGCCTCTCACATCTGCACCAACAGGGAACAGACACCCTCCTCCTTGCATTCATGAATATGCTACAGGAAATGCTCCCGCATTGGCCGTCCACTCTGGAAGAAAGATAGGAGGCCATGGATGGTTTAATTAGGTCACAACCTAAGTTCCCTCTAAGCTGCGCGGCAGCCTTCTTAGCACCGCACAGACATTCAGGGAACCAGTTTAACAAAAAACTCTTGTAAAAGACATAGCAGCCATTATGCAAGTCGGTCTTCCAGTTAACTGAAAGAAAAGGAGCATTGCCCCTTTAAGAGCTCCTTGACAGCAGACTGGGAAAAGAGGGAAAGTTTATAGGATTAGACAGGAAGGGCAGGAAGCCCTTGTTTTGTTGTTTGTTTGTCAGTCCATTACTCTTTTCTCTTAACTCCTGCTATTGTTGCCATCGGAATACAGGAGTTTCACATTCCCCATCTGTGAATGTAGACCCCAGTCCTGCATATATTTGTGTGTGTGCTTAACTTTAAGCACCTAAATAACTCCATTCATACTTGAAGTTAAGCATGTGCACATGTGCATTCAGGATTGGAGGTATAATGTGTATGCTGCAATAACTCCTTAATAGTACAATATGTACTTAGAACAGACTAAGTTCTGAGTACTTAATCTCAGGGCCTGATCAACTCCTAACAAAGTCAATGGAAAGACAGCAGTTTGATTATACCCTTAACATTTATGAAAGAAAATTGTGTGTATTTTCTGTAAACTAGCACAGATTCTCCTAAGGCACTGATTCAGGAAAGTACTTAAGCTTGTTCTTTAGTCACCCTTATTCAGGATAATATTTAAGCACATGTTTAACTTTAAGCACGTATTTTATTTCCATTAACTTCAATGGGACATAAGTATATACTTAGTGCTGTGCTGAATCAGGGTCTAAATGAATTTGGTATTAAACACCCTTGTTTATTTAAGGAAATAAACAAGTTATGGGAATATATGAAAAAATCATAACTAGAAATATTTTACTTTTCTATCACACCTCTCTACCCACATATCTGTCATTTAAAATACCTTTCTCTGTTTTGTAGGATTGTTGAAAAGGCTTACAACGCTAAAAGTAGATGACAATCAGCTTACAGTACTGCCCAATGCAATTGGAAAGTAAGTAGAAGAAACCTGCCTTGCTTTGCCATATGCATATTGTTTGAAAAATACAAAAGTAAGATAACCTACTGAAATGAGAACTAATTTAAGAATATGGGCCTAACTCTCATTTATGTATGAAGTCAATGGAGTTGTGTTAGTGTATATAATCAGAAAATCACATGCCATTATCTGTTGTGTTTTCCATATACAAAGAGCAAAGATATATTTTCAGTCTAAATTATTTGTAGTTCAGATCAATAGAGCAACAAAACCAGAAAGAAAAAAAGTAAAGTCTTCTCTCAAGAAGTGTGTGTCTCTTCGGTAATGGCCTCCACTGAATTTTGAGAACAAAATGGTTGCCAAACTTTACACACACAAACATTGCTTATAATTTTTAAAGGAGTAGAACATATTGCATAAAACAAAAGGAATGACAGTTTCATAGGTACATATTGCACAATGTGGATAATACTGTGTAAATAATCTCATAACAGTGTTCTACAATAACTCCTTAACTCTGTAGTTGTATGAGAAGTTATTTGGGTCTTGATACAATATGGTCTGTCAGTTGTACTGGAGTTCATAGTGCTTTTTGATTTAGTCTTGGGTTTATTGTGGAGTTAAAGCTCAAATTCATTACAAAATTCAAGACAGATGTAAACCTCTCTCTAAAAGGGTGAAAAGATCTACCTACTTTTCAAATAGACCGCTATTATGTGTGTCACAAATATAAAGGGAAGGGTAACCACCTTTCTGTATACATAACTATAAAATCCCCACATCAGTATCCTAGAGTTCAGAGTGGAGAAGGAACCTTGACATGCTGGCAGAGTGGTGGGATCAATCTGAGATTTTTTTGGGATCATTTTGAACCAGAAGCACAGTGGGATTTTAAAAGGACATTTTTTTCCCTTTGGGCTGCTTGAAAGCAGGTTTTAAGCTGAAAGCAGTTAGAGGTTTTCTTTGTCTCTGCCTGGGGGCCAGAGCAGCAGGCATAACAAACGGGATCTTTCTTTTTGAGCTGGAGTTTTCTCTACCTAAAGGCAGGGTAGTTAACCTCCTGCAGGGAAATTCACAAGTTTTTCACAGACCTGAAGAGGTGGTTTTTTTTTAAGCTAAGAGCAACTAGAGGGTATTTCTGTCTATTTGCCTGGAGACAAAGGATTTTCTGTAGGCTGAGAATAGCTATCAGAGAACATAGGTATCACATTACAGCACAAAAATTTTACAAGCCAGGTTTGTTTTGTTTTGTTTTGTTGTTTTCTTTCTAACTCTCGGGTGTAAAGTTAGTTAAAAACAGAGAGGCTAACATGACAGAAACCAAGGCATAACACAAACTGGAGTTAACCAGACTGGAGGCAGCGAAAGAGGCAGAAAAAGCCCTAGAGGCTGCCAACAGGAGAGAAATGGAGGTAAAGGAAAAAGAATGGAAGCATTCTGAGGAGGAAAAAGAGGCTGCCCACAGGAGAACTATGGAGGTAAAGGAAAAAGAATGGAAGCATGCTAAGGAGGAAAAGGAAAAAGAGAGGAAGCATGCGGAGGAGGAAAAGGAAAAAGAGAGGAAGCATGCACTGGAGATGGAGAAGACAAAGGCTCAGCAGAATATACCAACAAACCCTAGCAATCCTTCTCCAGGTACCACTTCCCATCCCAGAAAGTTCCCCACCTACAAGGCAGGCGATGATTCCGAGGCCTTCTTAGAAAACTTCGAAAGGGCCTGCCTTGGGTACCACATCTCTACAGACCAATACATGATAGAGCTGAGGCCGCAGCTCAGTGGACCCTTAGCCGAGGTGGCGGCTGAAATGCCAAAGGAACACATGAACAAGTATGAACTGTTTAAAACCAAGGCGAGAGTCAGAATGGGGCTAACACCCGAGCATTCCCGTCGGCAGTTCAGAGCCCTAAGGTGGAAATCAGATGTGTCATTTACCCGGCATGCCTACCACATTGTGAAACATTGGGATGCCTGGATATCAGGATCAAGTGTTAAATCTCCAGAAGAGTTGCCCTTCCTAATGCAAATGGAGCAGTTCTTAGAGGGTGTTCCTGAGGAAATAGAAAGATACATCCTAGATGGGAAGCTCACAACTGTAACCGAGGTGGGGGAGATTGGAGCCAAATGGGTGGAGGTGGCAGAAAAGAAAAAAACTAGTAGCAGTTAGGGTGAATATCAGAAGAGGCAAACCGGAACAAAAGGGGTAGAGGGAGGAGAGAGGAACAATCCTGGTCGCAGTTGGAGCGGAGACCAGAAGGGACAACCTCCGACCTCACCCTAAAACCGGGGACAGCCCAAAGCCCCAACTACACACCAAGGAACACTCCAGACACCTTATCATCCTGCCACACCATTCTCCACCAATACACCTCGCCCCAGTGACCCGTCAGCTGGACAATGTTTTAAATGTAACAAGACGGGGCATATAAAGGCCAACTGCCCCAAGAACCCCAACAGATTACAGTTTATTGCCCCGGAATCACACCAGAGGTCCTCAGGCCCAGATGCCTTCCAGATACCCTCGGAGTGGAGGGAAACTGTGAGTGTGGGCAGGAAGAAGGTCACCGCGTGGAGGGACACCGGAGCACAAGTGTCGGCTATCCATGCTTCCTTAGTGGACCCCAATTTAATCGACACAGAGATCCAAGTGACGATTCAACCCTTCAAGTCAAACTCTTTTGACTAGCCTACAGCCAAGTTGCCTGTCCCGTACAAGGGCTGGTCGGGAACATGGACTTTTGCAGTCTATGATGATATCCCATCCCCATGCTGTTGGGGGAAGACTTGGCCAATCATGTGAAGCTAGCCAAGAGGGCGGGAATGGTCACCCGCAGCCAGGCTAAGCAAGCCGTCCCACCTAGCTCTGTTCTGGAAACTTCTACCAGGACCCGGTCAGAGGTGATGAACCCGGACCCCACGCCAACGTCTGCAACAGCAGTAGTGGATACAGTCCCAGAGACCCAGACAGAGCCAGTCCCAGAACCGGAACCGGCAGCAGCCGATAACCCTACACAAGAGGCTCAGCCGGAACCTGAACCCCAACATAGTGCACCAGCAGAGAGCTGTACACAGTCAACGGAAACAGCCCTATCACCTGCATTGCTTCCAGGGGGACCAAGCCTAGGTCCACAATCCAATGAGGAATTGATGTCTCCAGCATCAAGAGAACAGTTCGAGACCGAATAGGAAGCAGATGAAAGCCTCCGGAGAGCTTAGATGGCCGTACGGAGCAACCCGATCCAGGTTTGTTGTAGAAAGAGGACTTTTATACAAGGAAACTCTTTCTGGTGGACACCAGGAAGACTGGCATCCTCAGAGACAGTTGGTAGTTCCAACTAAGTACCAGGTAAAGCTCTTGAGCTTAGCCCACGATCATCCTAGTGGCAATGCTGGGGTGAACAGGACCAAAGACCATTTGGGGAGGTCATTCCACTGGGAGGGAATGGGCAAGGATGTTTCTATCTACGTCCGGTCTTGTGAGGTATGCCAAAGAGTGGGAAAACCCCAAGACCAGGTCAAAGCCCCTCTCCAGCCACTCCCCATCATTAAGGTTCCATTTCAGCAAGTAGCTGTGGATATTCTGGGTCCTTTTCCAAAAAAGACACCCAGAGGAAAGCAGTACATCCTGACTTTCATGGATTTTGCCACCTGATGGCCGGAAGCAGTAGCTCAAAGCAACACCAGGGCTAAAAGTGTGTGCCAGGCACGAACAGACATTTTTGACAGGGTAGGTTGGCCCTCCAACATCCTCACAGATGCAGGAACTAATTTCCTGGCAGGAACTATGGAAAGCCTTTGGGAAGCTCATGGGGTAAAACACTTGGTCGCCACTCCTTACCACCATCAAACAAATGGCATGGTGGAGAAGTTTAATGAAACTTTGGGGGCCATGATACGTAAATTCATAAATGAGCACTCCAGTGATTGGGACCTAGTGTTGCAGCAGTTGCTCTTTGCCTACAGAGCTGTAACACATCCCAGTTTAGGGTTTTCACCATTTGAACTTGTATATGGCCACGAGGTTAAGGGGCCATTACAGTTGGTGAAACAGCAATAGGAGGGGTTTACACCTTCTCCAGGAACTAACATTCTGGACTTTGTAACCAACCTACAAAACACCCTCCAAACCTCTTTAGCCCTTGCTAAAAAAAACCTACAGGATGCTCAAAAAGGGCAAAAAGCCTGGTATGATAAACAAGCCAGAGAGTGTTCCTTTAAAGTGGGGACCAGGTCATGGTCTTGAAGGCGCTCCAGGCCCATAAAATGGAAGCATCGTGGGAAGGGCCATTCACGGTCCAGGAGCACCTGGGAGCAGTTCATTATCTCCTAGCATTCCCCACCTCCAACCGAAAGCCTAAGGTGTACCATATTAATTCTCTAAAGCCCTTTTATTTCAGAGAATTAAAGGTTTGTCACTTTACAGTCCAGGGAGGAGATGACGCTGAGTGGCCTGAAGGTGTCCACTACAAAGGGAAAAGTGCTGGTGGCATGGAAGAGGTGAACCTCTCCATGACCCTTGGGCGTATGCAGCGACAGCAGATCAAGGAGCTGTGCACTAGCTACGCGCTGATGTTCTCAGCCACCCCAGGACTGACTGAACGGACATACCACTCCATTGACACAGGTAATGCTCACCCAATTAAAGCCCAACCTTACTGGGTGTCTCCTCAAGCTAAAACTGCTATAGAACAGGAGATCCAGGATATGTTACAGATGGGTGTAATCTGCCCCACTGGCAGTGCATGGGCATCTCCAGTGGTTCTAGTTCCCAAACCAGATGGGGAGATACGTTTTTGCGTGGACTACCATAAGCTAAATGCTGTGACTCGCCCAGACAACCATCCAATGCCACACACAGATGAACTATTAGAGAAACTGGGATGGGCCCAGTTCATCTCTACCTTGGAATTAACCAAGGGATACTGGCAAGTACCACTAGATGAATCCGCCAAGGAAAGGTCAGCTTTCACCACACATGTTGGGCTGTATGAATTTAATTTACTCCCTTTCAGGCTGC